GTGAATACATTCTGCATGCAAACTTTTGTTAGAACCTGCAATGCAACAAGTGTCATCCTGCACCACATCATCATAATACAAAACAAACAAACGATCAACATATTCTGCATGCAATACATAATCATTTTTCTTTGTGATGATGCACTTCTTGTTCTTGAAGGAAACGTCAATGTTCCGCTCATTCAGCTGTCCAACGCTGAGCAGATTATGTTTGGCGTCTGGCACGTAAAGCACATTCTGTATCGATAAGTCCAAACTGTGAAGAACAACAGTTCCGTAGCCTTTACTGGGAATAGTGTGGTCATCCGCCTGGTGAATCGCACCTTCCTGCGGTGTAAAAGACACAAACAGTTTCTTATCGTTGCACATGTGGTGGGTGGCCGCTGAATCAACAACGAAGAAAGATCTAGACGTCTTCTGGACCTCTGCAACCTTTGGAGTGAAGCGTGAAACCATAGCCTTGTGCTGCGTTGTCCTAGACACCGGACCTTTGCCTTTGCCTCGGCCTTTTCCGCGCGATGAGCTTTCGCTGCGCTGCTCTGTCTTGGCCCTGGGATGTCTGCATTCCCTCTTCATATGGCCTAGACGTCCACACGAGTAGCATTTCACTGCCTTCAAAGCTTTGGCGCCATCTGGTGGTTCCACTGCACTATGGGATGACGTCTGTGAAGACTCCCCCTTGCCCATGCAGCTAGCACCCCGGCGATCTGCTTCATTTAAAATCACGGCAGTAACAAAGTCCACTGTCAGCTGAGCAGTTGGTTGCACAGCAATCTAGGTTGCAACAGACTCCCAACCTGAACCCAAAGATTGTAGTATCATGAAAGAATACACAGCCTCTGGAAAGTTGAGTCCTCTCTGTTGCAGCTCATGTCTCAGATTTTGCATCTCCATCAGATGTAAACGCACACCTCCACCTTCAGCAAGAGCCATATTATGCAGCTTGTTAAAGTAAAACATAGTGGATCCAGCTTCTGTCCTTAAGTGAGCCTCTCTCAGAGCGTCCCAAATTTCTCTGGCTGAGGTCTTATCACGCAATAGACAGAGCTCTTCTGGGGATACTATCAATGTAAGAGTTCCCCTTGCTTTGGAATCCTTAGCTTTCCATGCATCTGTAACTGGAACTGGGGGGGTTTCTGCAATCACCTCAAACAAACCCTCTTTCCGCAGAATTGCCTCTGCATACTGAACCCAGTCGCTGTAATTTTTCTTGTTGAGCTTAGGAATCCCACAAGCATCCTGAAGGGCCATCATGACTCTGGCATTAGCCTTCAGCGTCATATGCTGCTTTAAATCTTGCTGCGTCACTGCTGCAGCTGCCTTATTACAAAGGCGCACTTAAAAGTTACTTTCGATTTCCCCAGCATAGTGACTTGTGCCTGGGAGCCTTTTGCCTATTCCCGGCAAAACCGGCTTTAAAAGTTCAAAGTCCAGCCATTAACTTGAAGCTGGCAGGCTGCCCGGAGCAGTAGCACATACCTCATCAATCACCTCTACGCGCAGAGCAGATTCCTTTCCGATCCGTCCCTCTGCATTCCGATCCTTTGCCGGCACTCCGATTCGACTTCTGGAGCCCATAACCACGTGTTGATTTAAGCAGAGTCTGGTGCCCAGCGGAAGGATGAGGAGTACGTGCTACATACTCGATATTGCTTTATTTACAGTTCAAAGCTGGTATATTACAGAAAGACATCTTGCCTCTGCAGGAGCAGAAAAAATGCATCCTCTCTCCTCGACAGCTTGGAGAGAATCACACAGTGAAAAAAACAGGAAACCAGTGTACGTCACATCCAGCCTCCCTTTCCCGTGAGAAACTCCAACAGTACAGACAGTACAGACTGTGGAATGTAAACACCTGTCTCGTGACAAGCAGAGCTGCACAGTGAAGGAAAGCAGAAACCAACAGCCTCTGCCATGAACCCAGTTTACTACCTCTCAGCCTTAGTTCCAGATTGGCAGTAAACATATAGGGACTGCCCCAGCCCCTGCAATAATCATCTGAGGCCTTTCTTCATGTGCCTTCGCCATATCAGGTCCAGAGGATGGCAACACAAGAATGGGCCTTTTCTGTGGTGGCTCCCCGCTTGCTCTCTCCAGGGAGGCTTGCCTGGCACCTTCACTACCTATCTTTAGGCCTCAGGGAAAAACATTCTTCTTTTCCCAGGCCTATGGCTAATTTAAAAATCTGTGGCTGTGTGTTGGGGGGATTATTGTTTTTGTTTGTTACTATGGTATATATATCTTTTGCGATTTTATATCGTAAACTGCCCCGTGATCCTCGGAGGAAGGGAGGCATGAAAATTTAATAAATAACAATAATAATAATTCGCCACTTATAAATGAAGGACTGTAGTAAGGATCACCAAGGGCCTAACTACATGTTAATAACAGGGTTAGCAATCACATTATAGGATTTAAAAACTGAACGCCAAGTGCAGGCTACTGTGGTTGTCAGCAGAAGTTTAGTACGTGGGTTTGTGAAGTTTAAACCTCCGCTCACTGGCTGTGATTTTGATAAAAATCATCCCCACTGGCAACAATTACCATGGGGGGGGGGGAGAGGAATTCACATTGACAGCAATTCCAGCGCTAGTTGCTTATGTGTGTGTGTGTGTGTGTGTGTGTGTGTGTGAGAGAGAGAGAGAGAGAGAGAGAGAGAGAGCGCCTTACCTCAAAAAGGATATTGTAAAGTTGGGAAGGGTTCAGGGCAGCCAACGTGATTGAGGGGATGAAGCAACTTTGCTTATGAGGGAAAGCTGCAGGATTTGGGGCTTTTTCGTTTAGAGAAAAGGCGAATAAGATGCAGTATGATAGAAGCTTAGAAAATTAGGTACAGTGCAGAGAAAGTGGATAGAGAAATGTTTTATAGTACTAGAACACATGGACATCCTGTGGTGCTGAATATTTAGGGAATTTTTAAATGTCTGATGCTGTATTGTTTTTAATATTTGGTTGGAAGCTGCCCAGAGTGGCTGGGGAAACCCAGCCAGATGGGCGGGGTAAGAATAATAAATTATTGTTATTATTATTATTCAGGACAGGTAAGAGTGTAGCTGAACTATGGAACTCGCTCCAAGAGGAAGCAGTGATGGCCACCAACTTAGATAGCTTTAAAAGGGGATTGGACAAATTCATGTTGTTGTTGTTTAGTTGTTTAGTCATGTCCGACTCTTCGTGACCCCATGGACTAGAGCACACCAGGCACTCCTGTCTTCCACTGCCTCCCGCAGTTTGGTCAAACTCATGCTGGTAGCTTAGAGAACACTATCCAACCATCTCGTCCTCTGTCGTCCCCTTCTCCTTGTGCCCTCCATCTTTCCCAACATCAGGGTCTTTTCCAGGGAGTCTTCTCTACTCATGAGGTGGACAAAGTATTGGAGCCTCAGCTTCATGATCTGTCCTTCCAGTGAGCACTCAGGGCTGATTTCCTTCAGAATTGATAGGTTGGATCTTCTTGCAGTTCATGGGACTCTCAAGAGTCTCCTCCAGCACCAGAATTCAAAAGCATCAATTCTTTTGCGATCAGCCTTCTTTATGGTCCAGCTCTCACTTCCATACATCACTACTGGGAAAACCATAGCTTTAACCATACGGACCTTTGTTGGCAAGGTGATGTCTCTGCTTTTTAAGATGCTGTCTAAGTTTGTCATTGCTTTTCTCCCAAGAAGCAAGCGCCTTAAGAGGCCATTAGCCACAATGGCGATACTATTCCTCCATGGTTGCAGGCAGCAACACTTCTGAATGCGAGTTTCTGCAAACGGTCCTGCTTGCAGGTTTCCTGTTGTGAGAACAGGATGCTGGACAGCTATTGGCCTGATCCTGCAGACTCCTCGTATGTTCTAATAATGTCTTGATTGGGTATGGGTGATTCTTGTGAAACCCTCTATCTGGAAGCAGCACTGAATTGTAAGGGCTAGATTGCTGTAGATCTTGGATCAGAAAGTGTTCAGAGAAATCATTTTGTAATCTTCTAAGAATCCATGTATCCGGATTCTGCTTACATTTTTCCCCCCTTGCCATATATTATACCATTTCATTTTATTTGTATGCAATGGGGAATTATTATTTTTTTCAAGGTGCAGGAATGCTTTCCTGAACTTCGGAGTCACTCGAGTTGAATTGCAGAGTGGATTTCAAGGAGAAAGAATATTATTGACACTTACGACTTCACGCTGAAAATGAAAAGCGGTTTTCAATCATGTGTCTCATTTCATTTGGGGAGCCTGCCAAGCTCAATCATTAGCCTTTTATTCTAGGAGAGGGAAACAGATATTATATATATATACTGCAATCAAAGCCGAATTCTCTCAGGCTACCCAATCAGTTCATTTATACAACAACTGTGATAAAAGGGTGTTGTTGTCTGTCAGCCTTGGATTTTAGGCTGTTGGGATCAACAGAAGCAGAACTCGGCAGAAGAGACTGGTTACTTACTCATTCTGATCATTTAGAAGCGAAATCTCCTACTGACTTTTATATGCAAATTTAAAATAAATAGGCGTGTACTGAAGGTGCAATGAGGTGGGGGTATGGCAGATAAGCACTCTGTTCTGTCTTTGAAGCAATCATAGAAACTACAAAAAGCACAACCCCCCCACCCCCCAAAACACACACACACACACCAGGGTTTTGGTTATTCATGGTATGATAAAAATGACAATTTGTTTTCTGCTAGAATTGTAGAGTTGGAAGGGACCCATCTTGTCCAAACTCCAGTGAAGGCGAGTCTACTGCTTTTCAAAGGAGTCCATTCCACTGTCGAATAGCTCTTACCGCCAGAAAGTTCGTGGTTCGATTCTCTCAAACAAAGCCATGGTTTCTAAGCCAAGAAGAAACCTTCACTACAAATTGTGGTTTGTTTGGAGTGAAATGAATGACAATTCCCAGTTCAGACATAAATCTAAGCCAGGGGTTGGGTGGCACGTTTTCTCTGCATGCTAGAGGGGGAGGAACAAAGCAGCCCAAATCTAGGTATTAGTTACAAATCATTTACTATGGCCTTACAGTGAGTGCGAACTGGTGCATTCCGTGTTCAAGCATAGCAACAAGCCAGAGACCATGGCAGTGTGATGACTGCTGGCTGATTCCTTGAGGCTAGTCAGAGATGACAGGTTGATCTTCAGCAAGGAGCTCATGACGGGAAGTTTCTCTCCCCTGCCTTTGGAATGGGACACCTTCAGCCAATGCCAAGGGTAGAGAAACAGTGTTGAATTAAGAGGACAAAGAATGAGACAGGGAGCTGGATTGCAAGCAGCCCAGCAGGTTCCATGGCCACCTGGATCATGACCAGCAGCTTTAATGCTTGCATTAGGAACTGATGTATAATTGTAAATAAAACAAACAATTCAAAGACAAGTCTTCAGTGCAGTCTCATCCAAAGCAAAATATACCCTGTAATGATACCTCTGGAACTTCTAATCACTTCGGGAAGTGGAGAGTGCTTAGTAAGAAAAAGCAATGGAAAATGTTGTAATAATCCGGGACCCAGCAATCAAATATCAAAACTGGGACGTGATATTTATAATTTCAGGGTGGGTGAATCAGGGCTGGTGATTGCCTCCACTGAATCTTTAAATAGACCTAACGGGCAGTGTTCTTTCCAGTGCTCAACAGCGGTGAATCGCTGACATGTGGTGTTCTGGCTAGGATGATCTCTTTGCTGTTTACAAAAGGGTAATTGGCAGTGAGGAACTAGCTGTGACGTTAACATATGAGAGTGCTGGAGGGGAAATAGTTAAACAGGTCACCCAATCAGAACCCAGGGGGGTGGAGTCAGAGGGACTATAAAACCAGCTCTGGGAAGGGCGAAGGGAAGAGTTCGTTGGGAGGTTGGTTGGAGTGGGAGTGAACTGGGATAGAGTCTGTGGGCAGGTTGAGTTAGTGTAGCGAAATAAGCTGAGTCAGGAACAGTTAGGAGCTAGGAAGACAAGTAAATATCTGAGAGGTGGTTTAGTGAGTGAGAGCAGGTAGCGGAAGTTATAGGTCTGGATAGGCACCCCATGAATGTAATTGACCGATACCGTTTATGAAACCACACGCTTGTTAAACTGCAATAAATAAACGGAAGTATACGTTCCAATTTAACCCTGACTGGACTCAGTATTGTACCAGGTAGGGCCTGGGTGGTGGCAGCATGAAATTAAGTGGTGGCACTGGGATCAATAGACGGTGTAACATCCGGGGACCCTGTGTGATCGCCACACTAGCGTGCCCAAGCAGGGCAATGGCGATGCCAACGGAGGGTGTTGGGACTCCATATAAAAGATGACAAATAGGGGTTGGTATTTTCATAAGGAAGATGAGAAGTTCAGGTGCTTTTCTTCAGCAAGCTTCTCTTCAGGAAATTTCCAGGAGGGTTGTGTGGCGCACTTTCTGCACCTATTCCTCCCCATTCTCTGAGACTCTGGCTTTTCCCTTGTAGTGTGTAGGGAGAGGAGGGAAAGCACAATGCAGAATGAAAACAAAGGAGAGGGCAGGCTCATCTGATGAAGAGAGCACCAGGCTGGCATCGCTGGGATAAGATGAGTCACTTGTTTGACCACGAATATATGTGCTGCTGGTTCCACTTCCACTTTTCTGACTTTATTAATGGTGGTGGTAATTACAGCGAGTCAGCATGGCATTGATTTTTGGCAAAATAATGGCAAGGTTGACGCAGGGTCTCTAAGGGGTGCAAGAACAGGTGCAACATAGATACTCCTGGACAGCAGTGGCTTTTGGAAAATTTTTCTCATAATGATCAGTTTCATAAAGAAAAAAAATTATGACCAATAATGGCTGGTGCACTAATTTAATATGTGTAGACCTCTTGACTTGCAAACTTGTTACAGTCATACCTCGGAAGTCTAATGGAATCTGTTCTGGAAGTCCATTAGATTTCCAAAATATTGGGAAACCAAAGCGTGGCTTCTGATTGGCTGCAGGAAGCTCCCGGAAGCTGCCGAAGCCCCGTCGAACGTTTGGCTTCCAAATGAACGTTCAAAAACTGGAACACTCACTTCTGGTTTTCGATTGTTCGGGAGCTGGAACATTCAACTCCCAAGGCGTTTGGGAGCCGGGGTACGACTGTATATTCCAAGGAAAAATAGAAATATTTCACATTTATAAATGAGTTACCAACTTACCAAGTGATATGTCTTAAAAGGCCTGTTGTTGTTTTCAGTTATGTTGATGTTTCCAATAGAGTTTGGAAGCGATTGATGTTTGACCTGACATAAAAGAGAAAATTGAGTTGCTGACTTAATCATGGATTATTTGCTTCTCATTATTGCTACTTCAAACCTTTTCTCACCACATGGAGAGGAATCGCAGTAAAATAAACATGCTACACTTAGGAATTATTATTTTTCATATAAAAAGGCTCCCTATTTAGTGCTTTAAAACAAATTCATTCATTACATTCTTAAAGCCATAACATTATTTTAAATTAAGAAGAAAACAAAAGGGTTAACACCTACAGTATTTGAAGTGGGCTGCGGGGGGTAGAACAGTAATTTGGAGCAGGGCTTTTAGTGTACCTGTCCCTCTTCTGTGGAATAGCATTCCTGCTGAGGTACGACAATTGAAGACATTTTTGTTCTCTCAGGCTTTAGTCTTGTTTTAAACGTATATGCTTGTTTTCCTGTTTTTAACCACTTTTAATTATCTTGTGAGTAAACAGACAGTGGTTTAGAAAGTGACTAAATTAACTGCATGCAACACTATGGCTGTGTCCTCATTATACTAAATACTGTAGTTGGGAATGAGCCCATTCCTCAGTGGCAGCAACATTGCAAACCAAACATATATATAAAATCCAGCATATTCCTTCATCGCAGCAGTTTGTCCCTTCCAACCTTATGATTCTATGAGGGTCCTGCTGCCTCATTCATTGAGTACCAAAGCACTTCACAAAAGATCAGATTTGCAGAAATAAAGTAATAGAACATTCCAACAGAACATTCAATGAACACTGATATCAGCTGTAAACTGAAGGTTCTGGAGAACTGACATTCGTGGCTGGGGAATGCCTGAGCAAAAAGTTAAGCTTTTAATTGATGGAGAAAGCATGAAACCATCGGTGCCCACTGTCAGGGAACTGCCATCGGACGGAAGGGAGGTGAAAGGGCTCACACAGGTTGGGAGAGACGCAGCAGCTGAAGAGGGAACCAGCAGGGAGGTGAAAGGGCTCACACAGGTTGGGAGAGACGCAGCAGCTGAAGAGGGAACCAGCAGGGAGGTGAAAGGGCTCACACAGGTTGGGAGAGACGCAGCAGCTGAAGAGGGAACCAGCATGGGGAGAGGAGCTGAGCTGGAGGGATGGCTCAGAGACACTTCCAGCGAAAACAGTGGGGAGGTTTCAGGACCTCCTGTTAGAACACCCACTCCTCGCCGGAAACTGTCACGCAGAGATTCCAGAAGACGTGGTTCCGTTAAGGAGCTTTTATGTTGGATGCGCTGACGAAAGCAACCACTGTCGGACTCTGCTAGTGACTAGAGGAGACATGTCTGAGGGGCTCCATCACAGACAGAGGTTTGTGGACTTGAACAAACTCTGAGGGGATACGATTTTACGCACAAGCAGCTCATCATCCCATCACAGCATTCCGACAGTCTTTGAAAGCAGCTTGTGCAGGAGAAGGCATCATGAGCAACCCAGCCGGAACCGGAGAAGCAGGAGCTGGAGTGGGTCCAAGCCTGGAAGAAAGGTACCGGGTGTTGGAGGTCCAGCTGGCGATGCAGACGGCGAGGCTTGAGGAGAGGAGGGCTCAGGATGCAGACAAAAGGGGAAAGCCACCCAGCTCGCCAGAAAGGTACCAGGATTGGTGCAGAAGTTTGGGGGAGCCCAAAACTATCATGGCTTTCGGACAGAAATGCAATATGCCCTCAATCTGCAGTTTGATGAATTCCCTGACGAGGAATCACGAGTGGCTTTCGTGATTGAGCATCTTGAAAAGGGGGCGAGAGACTGGGTTAGACCCCTGATGGCAGCGAATAGTGACGTCCTAAAGGACACAATGAAGTTCTTTCGCGCCATGGATCTGATGTTTTCCAGCGATATTGAAAAGGGAGTGGTGAGCAGACAGTTAATGGGTTGCAAACAGGGGAGCCGATCTGTCCGTGAGTATTGGACTGAGTTCACCATGCTTGTTCACAGATTGGGGTGGGACTTATCGGCGGAACCCATTCAAATGCTCTTTGAAGAAGGGCTTTCTTCGGCTGTGAAAGACGAACTTTCCCGGGCGCCCAGGGCGGAGTCTATGGACCAGCTGACCAAATCAGCGCTGGCCATAGGAGCGCGCCAGGAGGCGAGAGCATTGGAGAGGCGGGAAGGGAAAGGGGAACGTTGGAAGGAGTTCCGCATTCCAGACATTCCAGAGCCAACTTTCCCACCGGCAGAGCCGATGGAAATCGGAACAGCGCGCGCGCGCAGTTTCAAAGCCCAGTGAGGGGGCAAAGAAGGAGGGAAAAGGCGCCCGGAAATGCTATCTCTGCCAACAGCCAGGTCACTTTGCCAGAGTCTGCCCCCAGAGGAAAGAATGGCAAGGGATGGTAGGAGCTGTGGATGGAAGAGAGGAAGAAATACCGGCGCAAGACAAAGCCAACGCCTGGCTGCCACTGTCAGGGCACAGCAGCCAGGCCAAAGAGCAGTGAGAGTGCCCACGCCAGAACCTCCTAAACCCGCCCTAGTGATAGAAGTGACGCTAGAGCTGCCAAACGGACACCCTCTAAAGATAAAGGCGCTGTTGGACTCAGGCAGCTCCTGCAATTTCATGAGCAAAGAGTTTGCAGCTGAACACCAGATACAGACAATCCTTTAAGCAGCCCCCTGCAGGTGACCACGATCGATGGCAGGGAGCTGTTGGGTGGAGAAGTCAGCTTGCAGACCGTCCCAATGATAATGAAGGTAGCAAGGCACACCGAACTGATAGCTTTTAATGTGGCCACCTTGGGAGGAGCTCCCATTATATTGGGGATGAGCTGGCTAGCGTTACATGATCCGCTGGTGGGCTGGCATCAGAGAGTGGTTTCTTTTGGTTCAGCACATTGCTTAGAACACTGCAAAGAGGGAAAGGGTTTGGCAGGGGTCCAAGCCACCCTAGCAGGGACTGAAGTAACAGAGAACGTGAAGGTACCACGACAATATGCAGATCTCCGTGACGTCTTCAGCGAAAGGGAAGCTGACCAACTACCCCCACATAGACCCTTTGACTGTCAAATCAATTTACTCCCTGGAGCACAGCTCCCTGTAGGCAAGCTGTACGCCATGTCAGACAGAGAGATGCAGGAGTTAAGAGAGTTCATTGACAAGAACCTGAAGAGAGGGTTCATCAGAGAGTCCAGGGCGGTGGGGGCAGCCCAGTGTTTTTGTGGATAAGAAAACACGAACAAGCCGAGGCTGGTGTGTGACTTCAGGGCCTTAAATGCAGTGTCAGAACCAGTAGCCTTCCCTATGCCCAGGATTGACGACATTTTGACAAGGGTGCGGAAGGGAAAGATTTTCACAAAGCTGGACCTAAGGGGGGCGTACAACCTGGTACGAATAAGGAAGGGGATGAATGGAAAACCACTATGTTCACCCCTTTAGGGGCATTTGAATATTTGGTTATGCCCTTCGGCCTACAAGCAGGCTCCGCAACATTTCAATCGTTTATGAACCACGTCCTGGGGCCTTTGCTTTACAAGAATTGTGTGGCCTTTTTAGACGACGTGTTGGTGTATTCTGAGAATGAGGAGCAGCATGTGAGAGACGTCAGAGAAGTGTTGAGCAGGCTGCAAGCCAACCAGCTGTGGGTGAAACTGGAGAAGTGTCAGTTTCATACCAAGGAGGTGGAATTCCTGGGGTATCGCCTGTCAGACAAGGGATTGGCCATGGATCCCGGCAAGGTCCAGGCGGTGCTGGAATGGAAAACACCCAAAACAAAGAAGGATGTGCAGAGGTTCCTAGGATTTGGGAACTTCTATCGTAAGTTCATCCGAAACTTTGCCCACCTGACGGCGCCCATTACGGACTGTCTCAGCAGTAAGAAGAAGTTCGTGTGGACTGAGGAGGCGGAGCGAGCATTTGAGGAACTAAAGAGGGCCTTCGCCTCGGAACAACAACTCCTGCATGTGGATTTACAAAAACCGATGAGAGTGGAAACTGACGCATCAGACAGAGCGATTGGGGCGGTGCTTCTGCAGCCAGGGAAGAAGGAGTCAGAGTGGAGACCGTGTGCCTTATTTCGCGAAAGCTGAACAAATCCGAGAGGAACTACACGGTGTATGACCGAGAGCTACTAGCCATTCATGAGGCGTTCCGGAGATGGAGGCACCTGCTAATTGGCGCACAACATAAGGTGCAAGTGTGCACTGACCACAAGAACCTAGAGTATTGGAGGACGGCACGAGTGCTCAACCAACGGCAAGTGAGATGGGCCCAGGAGTTCTCCAAATTTAACTTTGAGATTAGTTACATGCCAGGCCCAGAGAACATTAGGGCGGACGCTCTCTCACGCAAACCTGAATATTTGGAGGGGGAGGGGGCACCCGAAGAGAGACATGTCATTCCAGAGGACCGCTGGGTGTGTGGGGCGGCATTGGTGGGACAAAGAGAACTGGTAGAGGAAACAGAGAATGATGAATACGCCCAGAATAAGCTCAGAGGTCTTAGGGGTGAGGGAGAGGAACCAGGGGTTTCGAGGAAAGAAATGGAGCTTTGTATTACAAAGGGGCACTGTATATCCCTGAAGGAGAGTTAAGGGGAGGGTACTCAAGCAATTGCACGACAGCCCTACGGCGGGGCATTTTGGACAACACAAAACCATGTGGTTGGTCACCAGGGAATTTTGGTGGCCTAAGGTGAGGGAAGATGTACGTGAGTATGTAAGAGGGTGCGAGCAATGCCAGCGAGCCAAAGGGGAAAGGCGGGCGCCGGCGGGGCTATTAGAACCCTTACCAACCCCAGAACGACCTTGGGAGGCAGTGTCGATAGATTTTATGACTGATCTGCCGAAGTCCAAAGGGAAAACAGCCATCATGGTGGTGGTAGACCTACTAACAAAGATGTGCCACTTTGTAGCGTGCTCGCATGCAGTCACGGCGGAAGAGACAGCGAAGTTATTTGTAGAACACATTTTTAGGTTGCACGGGGTGCCATTGAGGGTGGTCTCAGACCGAGGAAAACAATTTACTTCCAGGTTCTGGAGGAAGCTCATGAGCTTACTGCAGGTGGAGGTCAATTTTTCGACTGCCCGGCACCCTGAAACCAACGGGCAGGCGGAAAGAGCAAACGGTGTCCTCCAGCAATACCTGAGGTGTTATGTCAATGACAGAGAGAATGACTGGGTAGAAAAGTTGGCGCTGGCGGAATTTGCCTACAACAATGCCGAGAATGTGTCCACAGGGATGAGCCCCTTCTTGGCTAATTATGGGTGTCATCCCAGGGCTTTCCCAGGGGAGATGGGGAGAGATGGAGCGTCCCGGCAGCCGAGCATTTTGTGGAAGAAATGGAAGCAATCCATCGTCAGCTCCAACTCAACTTAGAAAGGGCGAAGGAAGAATACAAGAGGCAGGCAGACAAGAACCGAAGGGAAGGTGAAACCATAAGGGTGGGAGATAGGGTGTGGCTGTCAACCCAAGGGCTGCCGCTCAAAGGAGGTTGTAAGAAATTAAGACCCAGGAGGTTGGGTCCCTTTGAGGTCATTCAACAGGTCAACCCAGTGGCTTTCAGGCTCCGGTTACCCAACCACATGAAACTGCACCCAGTATTTCACAGGTCGTTACTGTCACCGTGCGAAGGGGGACGAGAAGGGCTGGCCACTCGGGGACCGGTCGTAGAAGAAAGAGAATGCAGCAGCCATGTGGCAGAAATCCTCGACGCCAGGTGGAAAGGGGATCAGGTGGAGTATTTGGTAGCGTGGGAAGGAGAACCGGAGTCAGAAAACACTTGGGTAATGGCTGAAGATATCAATGACGAGGTATTGATAGAAACGTTCCATCAAAGGTTCCCAAGGAAACCTCAGCCTGTGGAGAGGTTCCGGAGGGAATACTTTGGGACCACTGATGAAGGGGAGGAGTTGGAAGGATTCCCGGACTCGGAAGGGGAAGGGGAGATGGACTCTGAGGAGGAGGTGTACTTCGAGACCAGGAACCGCAACAGGTTGAGAGAAGTGTTCGAGACATCGGAAGATGAAGGAAGTTCATTCCGGGTTTTGCCTCCTCACCGCCCGTAGAGGAGGGGGCGAGAGGGGGTGAAGGGGGCCCTGGAGGGGAGGTGGATGTCAGGGAACTGCCATCGGACGGAAGGGAGGTGAAAGGGCTCACACAGGTTGGGAGAGACGCAGCAGCTGAAGAGGGAACCAGCAGGGAGGTGAAAGGGCTCACACAGGTTGGGAGAGACGCAGCAGCTGAAGAGGGAACCAGCAGGGAGGTGAAAGGGCTCACACAGGTTGGGAGAGACGCAGCAGCTGAAGAGGGAACCAGCAGGGGGAGAGGAGCTGAGCTGGAGGGATGGCTCAGAGACACTTCCAGCGAAAACAGTGGGGAGGTTTCAGGACCTCCTGTAAGAACACCCACTCCTCGCCGGAAACTGTCACGCAGAGATTCCAGAAGACGTGTTTCCGTTAAGGAGCTTTTATGTTGGAAGCGATTACGAAAGCAACCACTGTCGGAATCTGCTAGTGACTAGAGGAGACATGTCTGAGGGGCTCCGTCACAGACAGAGGTTTGTGGACTTGAACAAACTCTGAGGGGA